GATAGAGCTGTTAACCCAGCACTCCTCCAACTCCCTTTCTTCTTCCCACCACAGCAGTAGGGCACAGAATTTGTTAAAAACTTATCATTTTCCATAGTTGTTATAACCAAATCAGCAACAGATGACAAATTAAATGAAAAGATCTAGACCTTGCCAGCTCATTGTTCTTTCGAAGGAAAATTCATGTGGTAATATGCAGTTAATTCCTTTGTGTATAAAAACTGCAGATACAAGGATTTATGTTAACATCTAGAACAGGAAGAAAGCTTTTTCAGAAATTATAAATATCAGCGCTCATCACTATATGCAAGTAGGTAATTAGGGTAATTATTCCCAATTAGCAGCTGCAAACCCTGCAGATGGGAATTTCAGGGACTGGTAACTATTGTAAAAGGAATTTTTGCAAGCTGTAAGGCCACTTCCATGTTTTGCAGTACAAACATTTAATACACCTTATAAAATCCATAACAGAATGTGGTTAGTATTCTAAAATCCTAGAAAAAGAGAAAAACTTTTGTGGAGTATAATGGGCTTTTCTGTGCTGTTATTCTGTCCCTTTTGCCAGCTGAGGTTAACTGAATTCTGAAGACTTTTTCAGGTATTCAGTCTCTTGTGACTGCATCAAGACCTAAAGTGAATCCTGAACTTGAACTAAAATTGAAATTGAATTCTGCTCTGTTTTTAAATCGTGAAGGCATGGTGTCTTTCCACTGTCTTTTTGAAGTCAGCAAAAAGATTCCATTTATTTCAGTGCACCTGGAATCCTGGGCGTAAATCTGTAATCCCACTGAAACTGTTTTTCCTTGTGCCTGGCTCATTCTGCTCAGACCTGAAGAAGCATGTGTTGCAACTGAAAGCTTGTCTAGCTATATCCCAACTGCCTAGTTGGTCCAGTAAAAGATATCACTCTAGGAAATCCTTTCCTCTTGTATTTATATTACAAGGCAGTCTACCAAAATTTCAGAAACCCATACTATGATTTGCTATTTGCAAAAGGGTGGGTGGCTTCTTTTTCCTTCTAATGGCTCATGGGTCTTCCAGGTTTTTTGAGAACTAGATTGCAGATCAGTTTCCTTCAGTCATCTTGTTTTTTGGTTGCCAGATGCTCATATAAAAAAAAGCAGAAGAGCTTTTAGTTTACTTGAGTGCTCTTCAGGTTACATTTCAAGTATGATTTCAGTCTTTCCCTTTTTCATCCTTTTTGTGAGTTCAGCAGTCTAACCAGAGTAACCTATATTAGAAGGGAAACTATAAATATCTAATTAGCCAAAGAAGGATACATTACGTGGCTGTGTTGAAAGTTTTGTCAAGAAGAGCTGTTTACCACTGTGTTAAGCTTTAACTTTCTGGCTTTACTATAAAAATGCAAAATTTAAACATTCATAACTTTACAGCGAAGGCTTTGAGTCACAAGTGAGAAGCTCAAACTAAGCATGTTTTAACCAGTTTAGCTTTTAGTTATTTAAACACAATTTCACATCAGAATGGACAGGGAAAGGAAACTGAAAAATGGCTGAACTGATTTTGCTCAAACCTTTTAAACTTATTTTTGAGCTAAAATAAAGCACAGATAAAGTTATTAAATTGCAAAATTGTTTAGCATGAAAAACAAATTTGGCCCCTGATAAAGGAAACAGAGAAATAAAGTATTGGAGTACCCATTGTATAAAAATAGCCAGAATATTTTTTTCATTATTTGGACCTTGTTCAAGGCCATACTAGAATCCAAGCACTACAGACAAAATAAAAAGTATGAATACATTTGCATGATATCAGCAAGTTTGTCCTAATGCAATAGCCTGATCCCTAGCAGTGTAACTCTGTCATTCAGAATTTGGCAGGCAAGAGTACGTCTAGTTATATGTGATAAAATTTTAAAAAGAGCGTTTATTTTTCTCATGTTAAGGATCTCCATCTGTTACAACTCACACTGCATGCAGATATTTTTTAGGTGTCAGAGAATCTCAGAAATCCTTTCTCATGGAGAACTTCCTTAAACGTGTGGTTCTGAAAGAAAAAAAAATGATTTCTTACTTCTAGAGGTCTCAAGCCCTAGAAAAAATTACCACCTTTCCCTTTCAACCTATACTCCAAATCCAAATCAGAATAGCATGAAGGTTTTTCTCTTTGGCACTTTATTTTCTCCTTTTTCAGAACTGTATCTTTTCTTTCCTTTCTTTCAGTGCTTGTGTTTCCACTTCTATTTGTTTTAGGCTTTTAAAATATCTAAGAACATATTTCCCTCTAAAATAATTTATCTGTCTTTCAACGTGTTTTCTTTTCTGACTCGTCCTTTCTCTCAGGATGGCCCTATGTTTACCCTAACTCCCTGCTTCCTTTAGTCCAGCATCTCCATACTTCTTATCTCCCTTTGCTTCTGTTTTGTGAAGCTTTTCCCTTTGCATTTCCCTTCTACCTGGACCCTCTTTGGATGGAGTGCATAGCATAAATCCTGTACACACTGACAGAGTTGGCAATGAGTGCATTTTTGGATGAGAAGCAGTTGATAGCTAGATATGTTACTGACTTTACGCAGCAGAAGAAAAGCCTATTGTGGGTGGGTCTGTTGAGTTTACTAGACTCCTTGGGCGCATATAGATGTTCAGGGAGGTTAGAGCACATTAAAAATGACCACCCAATCTAACCTAGTTTGCCCAGCTGTGGACCTTACACAAGTTAGGTCAATCTAAGTGTGAACTGTACAAAAGTTCAGAATAGTTAGATCAATCTAAAAAAGGCCGATCCAATCTAAGTTATCCCTACCTCTGAGGTATAGTCAATTTTGATTGGATTGGCCATTTTTAGACTGATCTATCTGTCCTGAACTTCTGTACAGTTTCCAGTGCAGTCTCAGGTCTGAGAAAGCCTAGCCACTAGCCCCAGCCCCAGCCCTGCCCTTTCCCTTCCTCCTCCCTGGAACCAAACTATTTTTAGCCACCCTGCCCTTAGCTCCACCCCCAGATAGACAACCTCCCTCCCCATGGATCAGCCAGGCCTCCTTCAAGCTCACCAAACTCATCAGTGCCAGGCAAGTAAATTGGGGTGGTGGGGTGGGCAGGATGAGGGAGTTAGTTTGCATGGGATGGGGGGCGTTGTTTGTCTGGGGGTGGGAGAGGTCCGGGTCTAAAAATAACCCCTGGTCCTAGGGGGTGAGGGACAGCTACTCTCCCCCCATGGACCCTGTAAGCCTCTTGGATTCCACCAGGCCCCTGCCCAGTCATCCTCACAGACTCTGCTTGCCCCCTGTAATCCCCCTGCAAACCTTGCCTTCCCCCCCAGTACCCGCCCTGCCTCACAGCCTCATTGCCTCAGATCCCACCCAAGTCTGCCCCCCCCCCTGCTAGGTCCCCCATCCCAATTTACCTTAGATTGGGTGGCCTTAGATTGATCTTACATCCCCCTACCCTCCCTGAATGTCGGGACACACCCTTTGTCCCTTTGTATCAAGCTTAAATGTATTCAGGATGAGAATCTTGACTAGACCTTTCAACTTTGTAATCTCCATTATGTGTCCTTCATCATTCTGCTTTATAGGATATTTGTGAACATTTTAATTAGTCTATATTATATGTGAAGTCATTATGCTGATAAAGCACTTGATGCTCCAAGATTCTGAGTTCTGGTTCTTATAAAGCAAAGTATCTAGGCTTTAACCATGTGATACATATTAACTGTCTTCAATGGCACTGCCTACCTGCTTCAAGCCAAAAGTACCTTCAAGTGTTTAGCTGGAATGAGGCCAGATGGCTGAAGCACAAAGAAATAATTTGTAACATAGCTAGAATAAAGGATAGGGTTTATGTTTTATACAGGTTTCCCTGCATATAATCTTGAGTTGAAAGTGTCTCTGCTTCAAATCCCAAGTTGCTTTAGGTAGAGATGTTGTCTCACTGAATTACCAGAGAACTTTGTGTTGTGTACCAATGATTATGGATCTGCTAGGTATGAATTGTCTAATAACTAAATATAAACAGTTGTAAAACTGCCTGAATTCTATGTATTAAAAGTTATTTGAGTACATTCTTGGATAGACATGATGAGGATATATTACAGTCTCCATACATTCTTTCTTATACTTAAAAAAAAATTCTGAAAATTTGCATAATTTTTACCTGTTTTACAAGAATTTGAGTTACAGGTGGCATTAGTTCTGGCTCAGTTCTGTCAATTTGTATAAAAAATACAGCTTTCCATAATTTACATCTAGTATATTTTATTATTTTAATGGTTTATTTCCAAAAGCCCAATATGAGAATAACTGATAAAATATTCAAAAGTGATTGACCCTCAGTGGGCACATCCAGATGAGCATGGACATTGGTTTCCCCGGGGGCAAGTAGCAGTGGCGCACCTTGCCCCACTGCTAGTTGTCTCCGTGGACTGCCCATGCCATGCGCGCTTTGGCGCATAGCAGATTACCCTGGGTGGGGTAGGGGAGGCTGGGACCAGCACTGTGCTGGCCCCAGTAGCCTTAGATGGGGTCCTGGAGACCTTCTAGGGCTGCAAAAATGATGATTCTGCCATGCAGAGCCTGGCCAGCAGCCACAGTGCAGCACCGGGCAGCCTGGCCCTGCTTTTGAGTACAAAAAAGCCTGTGTGCGTGCTGCTCCACCTTTTTTTTTTCCACAGGTTTTTTTGACCCCTGGATATCCCACCAAAAAAAATCAGAGCAGCGCATCACGGGCAGTGCTCCCTTGCAGTACAGAGAACATCGAAAGATGCAGTATGTGGCACTGCCAATGTGTTTGTGGCACCACATACCACACAGTCACATTTGTCTGGATGTGGCCAGTGCATCCTGGGCTCTTCAGTACTTTAATTAAAAATGGAATTAAGATTCATTTACTAGGAACTTTTATAAATATTTCCAAATAGACTTGTGCCTTAGGGAAAAAACATAAATGACTTATTTCTGTAATGTGAGAAAAATCAAAGGAAAGTATTTTAAAATATGACAGAATTCATTCATATGTTGTACATGTTGTGATGTACTGTACCAGGTGCCTCAAGATGAATGGGGAGGATACCCCACTGGTGGTAAAGATGAGGAGATCCCCTGCAGGAGAATGAGAAGTGGAAGCTACATAAAAGCCATGGGAGATGAAGAAAGTGGAGATTCTGACACTAGCCCTAAGACATCACCAAAGGTAGCAGCCAGGCCAGAGTCATTATTAAAATCCATTGGACAGAGGCCACTTGGAGATCACCAAAAGTAAGATTCATTGAACCTTATAGATTATGTTTCTAAAAGCTACAGTGACTCAGGTTGTTTTTTTCTTTTGCATCCTCTCCAAACCAACCAATATCTACAGACAAAATGCAAAACTGTAATTAAAAAGTAGATTTGGAAATACTCTTGCCATTTCATTCTAAATGAGCTGTAGAGATACTAATGGCTAATGGATGAAAAATTGCTTTCTTCCTCCATCAGTATAATGAATCTGTTATTTTTAGAAGAGTTCACTTTTTTATTAAGAAAATATATCAGTCTTTGAATTGGAAACTAAAAATTCAAATATCACTGGTGATAGAGATACGTATTTTAAAGATTAATTATTTTTGTTGTCATCCCTCATTTAGGTATTTTAAAGTGATTACAACACCATTTTCTATGACAGAGGAATGACACTACACAAAAAATGCATATGTCTATATATAGAAGTATCATATACAAGACACCTGTCATATTCTGTTAGCTACAAGATGCTTTCCTGCACATCGATTACACTGTATCATACTCATTTAACATTGTAAATATATGTTTTAGCATAAATAGTGGTTCCAGCGTGGTCCATAAAATAATGCATATTTAAAATGTATAAATATGTATTTACATATTTACATAACTTTACAATTCTATTAGACTTGTAATTTACTTTGCTTTTCTTTTAAAGTATCTTTAAAGGAAAAAAGTATATCTGAGAGTTAAATTTTCTGCTCTCAACTTCTATGCATGTAACTTGGTATTGCCCACAGATTAGAAAATTGGCAGTCAGACTTTGAGAGAAATGCACAAAAATTATTTTTCTGATAGTTTGCTACTAGCTATGTTGTGGATAATACTTGGGGATAGAACCAGAAAAACAGCAGAAGTAAAATCTGTTGGACTTCACTAAATTGAGCTCTGTAATTAACCAATTAAAAGAAAAATACCTTTAGCAATGTTTATGGAAAATTAGAAACATCAATATTATTTTGTATGATTAGTATGTGAGTGCCTTATTGCCTATGTTTACTTGATATGAATTTAAATGGGAAGGTAACACAGAGGCCAGAATCAGGGACATCCTTTCAACACAATCGCCATTAGATATGAAGGAACTGTTCTTCAGCCCAGCTCTGACGAAAGCTCATTTTTGTATGAATTAAGAGGGAAATCCAAAGACAGTGATCCATCAGTAGGGAGGAAACACTGTTAACTTTTGCATGTCGACACAAACTGATAGGGGCCATAGGTATACAAACAAGTTACTGCAAGTTAAAAGGGGTGGCTGTATAACATGCATTACATGCGATGTAATGATTGCCTGTGTGCAATTTCTTATCCTACTGTATGTGGAAACTAAACCTCCGTAACTTGCTACTCCTAGAATCAGCAGCTGATATGCACCAAAACTGTATCCGCTTGCAATATATCCTTTAAAAACCATAAATATTTAAAGCAGACTGCTGTTCTAGTGCTACAGCTGTCACCTGAGCCTGTTCGCTATTCCCCAGAATTCTGTGGCAGTGTCACCATTGAAATCAAACTGGGGAAGGAGGAGGTCCCTAACAACAACATGGAATATTATTAAAGATTCAATTAAAAATTAAAGATTCTAGTAATCAATGGTTTGATGTCTAGTTGGCAGCTGGTATCAAGTGGAGTGCCCCAGGAGTCGATCCTGGGGCCAGTCTTGTTCAATATCTTCATCAAGGACCTGGGAAATGGGATGGAATGAACCCTCAGCAAAGACGCCTTTTCGGGCTGCTCAGTTATTTGGCATATTTTGTTATCCTGCACCCTCCATTCCCCATGGGTGCTGAATAACAAAGCTTTTACTGTATGAGCCAACAGTGTGCTCTTGTTGCAAAGAAGGCTAATGGCATACTGGACTGCATTGGTAGGATTGTTGCTAGCAGATCTAAAGAAGTGATTCTTCCCCTCTATTCAGCACTGGTGAGATCACATCTGGAGTACTGTGTCCAGTTTTTGCCCCTCCCACTATAGAAAGGATGTGGACAAATTAGAAAGAGTCCAGCAGAGGGCAACAAAAATATTTAGGGGGCTGGGACACTTAACTTCTAAGGACAAGCAGAGGGGCTCATTTAGTCTGGAGAAAAGACTGAGAGAGGATTTAATAGCAGCTTTCAACTACATGAAATGTAGTCACAAAAAGGATGGAGCTAAGACTGTTCTCAGTGGTGACAGATGAGAGAACAAGGAGCAATGGTCTCAAGTGGCAACAAGGGAAGTTTAGGTTAGATATTAGGAAAAACTTTCTTGCTAGAAGGGTAGCAAAGCACAAGTTATCCAGTGAAGTTGTGGAATTTCCATCCTTGGAGTTTTTAAGACCTGGGAAGACAAAGCCTTGGCTGGGATGATCTATTTATGAATGGTCCTGCTCTGAGCAGGGTTGGACTAGATGACCTCTTTAGCTGTGGACAGACATTCAAAAAGCATGAGTCTGAATTGATTCAATCATTGCAGGTTAATTTAACCTGGCTAAACTAAATCACTTTGTAACTGTGCAGACACCCCCTCTAGACTGAAAAAATGCCAGCACATGCCTGCAGTAGCTCAGGCTAGAAGCTGGGGGGTGCCAGAGCAGCCCAACCTCTCCTTCCACAGCGCTGAGCTGAGGGGACACAGCCAGGCCCAGGCAGGATGCTGTGATTAGGGAGGGGTTCCCCCACTCCTTGATAACAGAGTATTTATCGGCTCTGTTATCAGCATTTAACACCCCATCAGAAAACAAAGCCTCTCTCATTAATTTAAGGTCTGCTTAATCAGCTTTTCCCAAAGGAAGGAATGCAGGGACATTACCAACTGAGCTGTTGATTAGCTCCAAAAAGCCCTAAGCGGACACTGTCCTATCTGCCTTAAACAGCATTAGCTAGCATACCACATGCTGGCTGCAGCCCATGCTGTGGCAGAGAGGAGGAAAGGATCTCTTCTTAAGCAGTGAGTAGTGAGAGGGTGGGGAAGGAGAGGAGCACAGGAAAGCCAGCAAGTCTGGCTGTGCCTGCAAGTCTCTGCCAGAGCTGCAGCCAGGGAGAAGAGGGCAGGGGCCAGCACTGTTGTGGAGCAGAGAGCCCCGCCTAGCCCGGGGAGCATACCAGGATGCTGTGGGAGTTTGATTTAACTTAAACCAGCAAGGGGTCTGGGACAGACATTGCATAAACTGGTTTGACCCAAATCAGTTGAGTCTGATTTGGGTCAAACCAAATCAGACTACATTCAACCAGGTTTATCTCAAACCAGTTGAAGCCATATTCAAACTGGTTTATGTGCACTGAGGCTAGGGACAGACATTCAAAAAGCCTGAGCCTGAATTGATTCAATCTTTGCAGGTTAGTCTAACCTGGCTAGGCTGAACTGGTTTGTAACTGGACAGACATTCTCTCTGGACTGAGGAAATTCAGGCATATGCCTGCAGTGGCTCAAGCGAGAAGCCAGGGAGCACTAGAACAGCCCTCCCTTCCCTCCTTCAGGGAGCTGAGCTGAAGAGGGCATGGCCAAGCCTCAGCGGGACCTCTGATTAGGGAGGTCTGCGTGCACGGTCCCAGACTTTTCCCTGCTGGCTGCTCAAGGCATGGGAATGTTGTCAGCCCCCAGCCCTGGGCTAGCACTCTGAGGCAAGGGGCGGGGAGGTGCAATGCATTCATCGGTTGATGATACAGGGCTTGTCAGTCTCCCTCCCTGCTTCCTCAGACTGTCTGCAGCAAACTGACAGGCAAGCAAACGAGCTAGGGGGCAGAGAGGGGAGGCTGATAACAGTCTTTATCACCCAGTTAGCAAAACAATGGCCTCTCTCCTATTACTTCAAACTTCTTAAACAGCTTACCAGGCTGACCTGTTAATTAGCTCCAAAAGTCCTATTCTGTCTGCCAGCCTGTTCCAATAAAATTGGAGACTCACACACAGAAGGCTGAGGGGGGATCTAGTGGGCATTTACAAACTGGTCAGGGGGGACCAGCAGGCATTGGGGGAGTCCCTGTTCCCCTGAGCACTACTAGGAGTGACTAGAAATAATGGTCACAAGCTGGCAGAGGGTAGATTCAGACTAGATATCAGGAGGCGCTACTTAAGTGTCAGGGCAGCTAGGATCTGGAACCAACTTCCAAGAGAAGTGGTGCTGGCTCCTACCCTGAGGTCTTTAAGAGGAGGTTAGACAAACACCTTGCTGGGGTCGTTTGACCCCAGTACTCTTTCCTGCCATGGCAGGGGGTCGGACTTGATGATCTGCTCAGGTCCCTTCCAACCCTACCAACTATGAAACACAGAGACCTCTCCACATTAGCTAGCACACCACATGCCTAAGGTTCCTGGGGCTGGGGTCTATTCTGTGGGAGATGGGAGGGAGGGGGAGATTTCCTGCTTGAACAGGGAGGGGGGATAGGACAGGGTGAAGCCATGCAGACCCTGCTGTGTCTGCACTCTCTACCGGAGCCTTATCCAGTATCAGCTAGTGTACCACATGCTGGCTATGATCTGTGCTATGGGAGAGAGGAGGAAGAGATCCCTGCTTAAGCAGCAAGTGGCAAAAGGGAGGGGGGCACGGGGAAGTCAGCAGACCCTGCTTTACCTGCAAATCTCAGCCAGGGAGCAGATGGAAGGGGCCAGCCCTGCTGTAGGGTAGAAACACACACACCCCCACAGCCCAGAGAGCACGCCGGGATACTGGGGGACTCTGATTTATCTTAAACCAGCAAGAGGTCTGGGACAGACATTGCATAAACCAGTTTGAGCCAAATCAATTAAGTCTGATACTACATTCAACAAGGTTTATCTCAAACCAGTTTCAGCCATTTTAAATTTGGTGTGTGTGCACTGAACATCTGTTCTGTTACAGGTTTAAACCAGTTTCTGATCACTTAAACCGGTTTATGTGTAATATCTGTGCCTAGCCCTGAGGTCCCTTTCCACCCCGATTTTCTGTGATTCAGTTGTGGATTTCCCACAAGCTATGAGCCAGGGTTATATATAGTTGCACTGTGCCAGGAACAGAC